TCAGCGGGCAGCCAGCACGGCCCCGTCCAGCACGTCCACGCCAGCAGGCGAGTCTGAAAGCTTTGTATTCTTAGAAGACGTAAATAGGTTTTTAAAACGATGTATGTTCATCTAGACCGGTTAAGTAGTTTCATAATAGTTCTTCAAGGTTTTGCTGGGTTCAAATACAAAAAATATTTACATAGGCTTATATCGCGGTTTCTCGGTCTCTGTACGATTGCTGCTTTGGGCTGAATAATCCTTTGTTTGTGATTGTGCTACAGTGGATGTTTAGCAGCATCCTTGACCTCTATGTACCAGATGCCGGTAGCAGCGCCGCGGCCCCCCCCCCCCCCCCCCCCCCCCGTGACAACCCAGAATGTCTGTAGACATTGTCAAATGTCCCCTCTTTGGGGCGGGGGCAATAGCAAAGTTGCCTCTGGTTGAGAACATTATAGTAATTCTTGTCCCCCTCCCCTCATCATCGCCCTCCCTAATGTGGTGTGGTTTAAGAAAAAGTTTTCTGTTCAGTTGCCCCATTTGCCGGTGCAGTTGATCTTTGAGCTCATTTAAAGACACACAGTGCTCGAGAAACACAATTCGCATCTGACGACTTGTTGTGGTTGTCCTTTGTTCTTTACAGCCAGCTCAGCGGGGTTGATTTATATCGATCCTTCAAATCTGCGCCGGAGCGGTACCATCAGCACGAGTGCTGCCGCGGCGGCCGCGGCTCTGGAAGCTAGCAACGCCAGCAGCTACCTAACATCTGCAAGCAGTTTGGCCAGGGCTTACAGCATTGTTATCAGGCAGATCTCGGACCTCATGGGCCTTATTCCTAAGTATAATCACCTAGTGTACTCTCAGATTCCAGCAGCTGTGAAATTGACTTACCAAGATGCAGTAAACTTACAGGTATGGAAACATTGACAAGCTACTCATTCAAATAAATTTATGAGAATTCCAGTATATGGGAATTAACGTTACACATATTTAAATGTTTACATACTACTTCTACATCAAATTTAACTTTATTTGGATAGTTTTAACTATTTTAGTTTGGTCTTCATAGAACTATGTAGAAGAAAAGCTTATTCCCACTTGGAACTGGATGGTCAGTATTATGGATTCTACTGAGGCTCAATTACGTTATGGTTCTGCATTAGCATCTGCTGGTGATCCGGGACATCCAAATCATCCTCTTCACGCTTCTCAGAATTCAGCTCGAAGAGAGAGGATGACTGCACGAGAAGAGGCTAGTTTGCGAACCCTGGAAGGCAGACGGTATGAAATTCTTCACGTAGGCTTGTATGTTCAGACAGAACCCTTAGGTCCTAGAACGTTAGAGCTTTTTGATTGCTGCTACATAAGACCTCACTCTGTTTTGAAGGATGGAGGTACCTTGTGTTACTTCTTTTTAAGTTACTGTGTAGTTGAAGCAAAATAAGTTAGTTATAATCCAAGCTATTTTTTAAAAATTCATTCGTATTGCAGGAATCTGATGCTAAATACTTCTCATATTTGAAGTAGTTGATCTCCATCCTTGTGTCCTTATCCCCCAGGCTTCCCCGCCTCGCCCTTGAAAGGCCTGTATTCATGGGAAGACTTATTTTGACCGTGGTTGAACATGAATGCACGTTGTACTTGGGGAGAGGAGAGTGTGTGCAGTTACCGAAGCTGCTCTTTGATTCCCTCAAATCAAATTTCGTTTTCTACATCTCCCAGTCTGTTGAATCGTACTTAAAGTATATTTCTTTACGTGTTTTTTTTTTTTTTTTTTTAAGATTTTACTTATTTTAGATAGTGTGAGCACATGCGAGAGAGTGAGTGGGGCGCAGAGGGAGAGAAACTTCAAGCAGACTCCCTGTTGAGCACGGAGTCTGACACAGGGCTCGATCTCATGACCCAGAGATCATGACCTGAGCCAAAAATCACGAGTCAGACGTTTAGCTGACTGAGCCACCCAGGCGCCCCTGTATTTGTTTTCTTTCTGTTCAGTTATAAAATGACCTTTTTGAGGACTAGGAATTAGCCCCAAATTGTACACTAGAGCAGTGAGGCAGTGCCACACAGTGAAAGTGCCCCATACCTGAAGTCACAGTCCTAGGATCTGGTTCTAGTTTGGGCTCAGTGAAACAACCTTGCTACTTTGGGAGGAAGACAAGGGGCTTGGGAGACTGCTTAGGAACCTTAACAAGATTATGGTTGGAGTCCACCATTGAAAAGTAATAGTTATGTAAGGAGGGTAAGTGAAGGCCAGGAAGGTAGAGAGAGAGAAGCACTGAAATCATATAAACAGAATTGAGGGCTTTGTTGAAGGATGGAGCAGGAGGAGGCAGAATTTACACCTAGACTTTGATTTTGAATAAACTAATAGGAAACTTAAGAGAAAAATCTAGAGCAGTATAGAATGGACATACGTGCTTTTGAAAATACTGAGAACTGGGAGAGGATTTGGTGGAAATGTCTAGGATACAAAATTGAATGCTTGGCAGAGAGATCTGGACTTGGGAGGCCTCTGCCTGCTTGTCCTGGGAAGCCTGCTCTACAAAAAGACACATTGTCTTTGTTAGGCTTAGTCACTCCCTGCTGAAGTACAGCATTCTGATGATAGATCTAGATTGGTTACAGGGTTCTCCCCGTATCTCACTGTAGCTCTCACTCTAATAGAATAGCCTTATTGAGATATAATTCACATACTGTACAATTCACCCATATTAAGTGTACAGTTCCATACTTTTGAGTATATTCAGAGCTATGCAACCATCATCACAATTAATTTTGGAATATTTTTATCATTCCATGAGAATATCTGTTAGTCACGTTCCATTTTCCTCTACCTTCCCACCCTAAGCACCCACTGATCTACACCCTTTCTCTGTAGTTTTGCCTATTCTGGACATTACATACAGATGGAACCATACAATATGTGGTATTCTGTGCCTGGCTTCTTTTACCTAGCATAATTTTTCTAAGGTTCATCCAGGTTTAGCATTATCAATCAATACATTACTTCCTAGTAATACTTCTTTGTATGGATGTGCCACATTTTTTTTTTATCCATTCATAAGTTGGGTTTTTCAACCTTTTTGGCTCTTGCGAATAATGCAGCTGTTAATATTTGTGTACAGGTTTTTGTATAGACGTGGGTAAATACCTAACTGTGGAATTGCTAGATCATATGGTAATTCTCTCTCTTAACCTTTTGAGGGAACTGCCAGACTTTTCCAGAGTGGCTGCACTATTTTACATTCCCAGTAGCAGTGGATGAGGCTTCTAATTTCTCTACGTCCTTGCTAACTCTTGTTATTAACTTTTTTATTGTAGCCATCCTAGTGGATGTGAAGTGGTATCTCATTGTGGTTTCGATTTGCGTTCCCCTAATGGCTAAATGATGAGAGCATTGTGTCATGGGCTTATTGGTCATTTGTGTATCTTTGGGGAAATGTCTGTTTGCCCATTTTTTAACTGTCTTGTCTTTTTGTTACTGAGCTGTATGAGTTACTTACATTTTCTGAATATAAGTTCCTTAATCAGATACAAGACTTGCAGAAATTTTGTCCCATCCTGTGTGTGTTTTCTTTTCTTTTTTTTTTTTTTTTTTGATGGTGTCCTTTGAAGGACATAAGTTTTTAATTTGATAAAGTCTAATGCTGTGTGTGTTTTCTTGTTGCTTGTGTTTTGGTGTCATGTTAGGCAGTAGTTCTCAGCGTGTGATTCCCCAGAATAGCAGCGACAGCATCACCTAGGAACTTGTTAGAAATAGAAAATTGGGGGCCCTACCCCAGACCTACTAAAACTTAGGGAGATGGGGCCACAGTCTGTCTCAACAAGGCCTCCAGGAGATTTTGCTAAGACACTGAAGTTTGAGAACCATTGTCTTGAGGGAAGAAGTTCCTTTTCCCATTCCAAAGGACCCTGGAAATCCTTTCCCAAATAAAAAGCACAGGATAGCGGGGTGCCTGAGTGGCTCAGTCAGCTAAGTGCTCTTAATTTTGGTTCACGTCATGATCTCTGGGTCATGAGAGTCCCGCATTGGGCTCTGAGCTCAGCAGGGGGTCTGCTTGGATTCTCTCTCTCCCTCTGCTCACCAGCCCCCACCCCCCAAATAAATAAATCTTAAAAAGTACAGGACCACACAGGGTTAATGAGTTTTGACTTATGGATACTCTCAGTTCCTAATTTTGCATATTTATGATAGTGCTAAGTTTCATATTTGTATCCTTTTAAAAAAGCATTTTCATTTCTTTTTCTTCCTACAGACGTGCCACATTGCTTAGCGCCCGTCAAGGAATGATGTCTGCCCGAGGGGACTTCCTAAATTACGCTCTGTCTTTAATGCGGTCTCATAATGATGAGCATTCTGATGTTCTTCCAGTTTTGGATGTTTGCTCACTGAAGCATGTGGCGTATGTTTTTCAAGCCCTTATATATTGGATTAAAGCAATGAATCAGCAGACAACGTTGGATACACCTCAACTGGAACGCAAAAGGTATCCATACTTGCCATGAGGTTGGTTTAGGAAATACTTAATTGCTCAGTATGGTCTCTATTAGTATATTGTCCGATTTTTGGAGCGAGGAGAAGAGCGTTGCAAAAGAGAAATAGTACAGGAACATTTCATGTGGGAAAGAGGGCTTGAGTCTCCATAGCTACTAACTGAAAACAGGAAACCTGAGAATCCAATTAAGTTTGATGTTTGATGTAGTTTGTCATGTTTTCTATTAGAGTTTGTGTAAGTACTCACTATTTCTTAATATGATTATCCTTTTGCTTCTTTCGAGCCTGTTTTGTAATTGTAGTACATTTGGCCTGGTCACTCTACCATTCCCAGAGTCTAAAACTTGATCACAATGTTTGCAATTGCCTCAATACTTAATTGACTTTTTCACTTACAGTTCCCATCACCTTTGTTCCATACTTCATGTAAAATGACTCACTTGTCTTTTTAAAGGACACGAGAACTCTTGGAACTGGGTATTGATAATGAAGATTCAGAACATGAAAATGATGATGACACCAATCAAAGTTAGTGTACAGAAAATCTGCTAATCTACTTCAAGAAATGGCTGCCTCAGTATTTCCCCTTCAAGCTTTTTAACTTCATTATTTTCTGTCTGGGTGGGAATTTCTCTTTTCTTCTCTATGTCCCATTTCTTGCATTTTCTGTCCATTTTTCCTTATATATCCTTGAGTTATTTGCTTCATAAATAAGGATGAATTAAAGAAATGTTATAAACTTTTTAACAGTCGGTATTTTTTCTCTTTTATCTTTGTATCCTTTGGTTTTAGTTTTATGTTTACCTTTATTTTTAAGTGTGTAAGTACAACATCTTTAAAAAGTCTTAGCAGAACCTTTATTAATGCTAATGCAAAATTGGTTTAGTCAAGAAAATGAGAAATACCAATTATAACTCCCAAATATCAAAACTCTTAAGAGTTAATGCAATAAAAAGAAAATATTCCAAACTCAAGAAATTTTGGGATCTTCTGCAGTCTCTACTTTGTAGTTTTTAGCTATTATTTCAAGTGGAATTTAAAAATTTTTTTAAAGTGGGGCCAAAGAGCCTGTCCTCTTGCCTATTTCTTATGAACAGCTAGTACTTTTATTCAGCCCAGGGAAAGACAACTGACCTAATTGCTGCTGTTTGAAAACCCAGCCTTAGTCACTATTTTCACAGCTTACTGTACACTGCCCGAAGTTTTATTCCATTAAGGGGAGATGGTGTTCTTGTGCTTACTGTTGAGATGAATGAGATGTCCAGACATTTTTGTCTTGTAGAGAAAGCAGCACTTAAAAGTAAGCAAATGCTCAGATCTCAGCTCCTGACCATCTCCTCCTTATAGAGTCATCAGTGAGCCATGTCCTGAATATGCTTAGGAAGCCAGCTGTATTCAGGTCTGAATCCCTAAAGAGAGAAAGAGAAAGATATGGGAAATGTTTTGTCCAATACAAAAATGGAACAGTATTTGTTACTGCTAATACTTTTTTTTCCAAGCTTTTCTTGTTGTGTTAAAATACACAGAATTTACCACTGTAACCATTTTAAATTGCTAATATTTTGAATTATCACCTAAAATAGTATCAAAATTTTGGACAATAAACTTGTTTTTGGGTGACATTAAAATTTCATAAAGAGGTTATAGGAATTTTGGATTGAGCAGATTAAGATTCTTTTACCCTTCCCCAGTAACTAATATTTTCTAAAAAACAAACAACTTTATCTCTTTATGTTTAGGTGCTACTTTGAATGATAAGGATGATGACTCTCTTCCTGCAGAAACTGGTCAAAACCATCCATTTTTCCGACGCTCAGACTCCATGACGTTCCTTGGATGTATACCCCCAAATCCATTTGAAGTGCCTCTGGCTGAAGCCATCCCCTTGGCTGATCAGCCACATCTGTTGCAGGTGATTTAGATAAACTAGTTTACAAGGTTTCTTTTTAAGTGACTTCATTTTTTTTTAAGTGTTCAGTGTAACTAGAATATTTCTGTTAAAATTCCAGCCAAACGCTAGAAAGGAGGATCTTTTTGGCCGTCCAAGTCAGGGTCTTTATTCTTCATCTGCCAGTAGTGGGAAATGCCTAATGGAGGTTACAGTGGATAGAAATTGCCTTGAGGTAAGATAGTAAAAATCTTCACAATATAATATCTGTGAATGAGAACTTGTCCCAGTATCTAGAGTTTTAGAAATGCATTAATCCAGAATATTGTATTGCCTCAAATAATGGAAGTATCAGAAATTCCTGCCTTGTGACATAATTCCATATAATTTCATAATTCCATCAGTGTCAACTAACCTGCTTTGAGACAAACTTGTTTTATGTCAGGTGACTTCATCTATGAAATGAGAGTTTCATTATGTGTTTTGCCTATTTCACAGAGTTGAATGTTGTAATGTTTCTGGAAATTAAATCTTTATATGTGTAATGCATATATACCTATCATATATATATGAGCATATATAGTATTGGCTTAACTTTTTTTTTTGACTGTAGAATGTGAATAATAAGGTAGAATTATCCAACAAGTCATTATTAATATTATCTACTAGGCACAGTCTCAATCTTTATAAGCACGTTGAGTAGAAAGCATTTTTTGTCCTGATTTTATGGGTAAAAAGTTGAGGCTTGCAGAGATTACATAAATTTCTTGTGGGAATGTCTGTTTGTTATACAACTAGTTAAGTAGTAGATCTAGAATTTAGATAAAAGTCTGATGTGAGAGCCTAAAATTATATAGTCCGTACTGTTCCTCCAATGAAAACGTAATAAACACGTTTAAGAGCAGAATTTGCTTTATTATCTAAGTGATAAAAAAGAATGCAATCTTTGAAATATTGAGAATAACATAGGACATTATAGTAGCCACAGATATTATAAAGAATCCTTTAAAAGTTCTCTGAGGCTGCTGTGGTAAATGCACATTGGTGCAGTTTCATTGGTAGTCAGCAAGGGAAACAGGCTGCATCTTTGTAGTTGAAGTGCTAGAAAGGAATTACAAAACTTCCGTGATTTCTGTGGAATATTAGGAAGTTGAAAAGGAAATCTAGTCAGTTTTTTTTTAATGTATAACTTTTATGTGTAAAAATTCATAGGTTCTCCCAACTAAAATGTCTTATGCTGCCAATTTAAAAAATGTAATGAACATGCAAAATCGACAAAAAAAGGAAGGGGAAGAACAGAATGTGGTGCCAGAAGAAGCTGAAAGTTCAAAACCAGGACCATCTGCTCATGATCTTGCTGCACAGTTGAAAAGCAGTTTACTAGCAGAAATAGGACTGACTGAAAGTGAAGGGCCACCTCTTACATCTTTCAGGTATTTGCTAAGTGGAGATAGTTTTTCTGTTGCATTACTTTATGGGTATTATAATTCTAAGAATTTTTATTTAGGAATTTTATTATTTTATTTCATATGTATGTAAATAATAGAATTAAATGTTTGAGTTTTCTGGATTTTGGGGTGACTATATAGTCATTGATTGGCTTTCTGATTTTTCTCCTTACTTTATTGAGGAAATTCTAGGCCTCTGTTTTTTAATGTTCAGTACTGAGTTAAGTTTGTCCATGTCAGGTTGCCAATTATAGACGTGTTACCAGCAGCTCAGCAAAGGAAAACATGTGAATAACTAGAAAGAGCTTTCTAGACTTGTGACTCTCACACTTGCTTGGGCTCCTTTGGCAGGTTCACAGTTGATTATTATAAGAAAGAGGTAGGTTCTTTGCTTTCCCAGTAAAAATTTGCTAGGGTACACTGTGGCTCAGTATGGCTAATCATCAAATGATTTGTTGAGTACAAATGGTTTACAGAATGTCAGACAATTATTTTTGCTTAGGAAACTACATTTTATATACATAGTCCAACGACCATAAAAGGCAAGGAAGAATTGTGGACTGGGGGGGCCCAAGCTTTTCAGAGACAATATGGCTTGAGCTGAGATGGTTAGAATGTGTAGAAGCGAACATTGAAGGAGAGAAGAATTGGAGGTAGAGAGACAAGTTAGAAAGCTGTTAACTAGTCCAGGCTAGTGGTAAAAAGGGGCTGAAGTAGAATATTGCCTTTGGGTATTGATAGGAAATTATGGAAAGAGAGAAACTCATGAAGGACTTAATCACTCTGGAGGAACAGGGGAAAGAGACATTAAAATTTGTTTCAGGTTTGTGCAATAGGGAAATAGATGGTACTACTGAAAGAAAGCAAGAGGCAGCGTCATTGAAGTGAAGAAGCCGTATTCAGTTTTCCTATGTTGAATTGGACTTGTGTGTCACTGACGTGGATATATTTAACACAGTGGAAATTCTGGTCTGTTGTGAAAATTTGAACTGGAGAGGGATCTAGGAGTCACCCAAATGGAGAGGGATGATGGACTTTAAGGAGAAGAGGTAAAAATGAAGATGAAGGTAGGCAGCGAGGAGATGTATCCTTATATAAAGGACAGAAGGAATGATGGAATAAAAATGAGAAGTTCTATGAGGAATGAGTAGTTCTAGAAAAATTCTGTTAGAGAGGATGTGGTTTGAAGTACTTCAGAACCAAGAAAATTACTGTCATTGACCAAAAATCAGGGAATTTTTATAGTTGGCGAAATTACTTCCCACTCTCCCCTTAAATCTCTTGCAGGCCACAGTGTAGCTTCATGGGAATGGTTATTTCCCACGATATGCTGTTAGGACGTTGGCGCCTTTCTTTGGAACTATTTGGCAGGGTGTTCATGGAAGATGTTGGAGCAGAACCTGGATCAGTATGTATTTTGAGCACTTTTAATTCTGTTCTGCCTGATAAGAACTTATGTCAGAGAATAATTCTGTCATGGATTTTTTTTTTTTTAAAGATCCTAACTGAATTGGGTGGTTTTGAGGTAAAAGAATCAAAATTCCGTAGAGAAATGGAAAAACTGAGGAACCAGCAGTCAAGAGATTTATCACTAGAGGTAAAGGTATTTAGATTTTCTTATACTATACATATAGTGTGCCATTTATATTAAGTTTAAAAACAAAAAATAGGGGCGCCTGGGTGGCTCAGTTGGTTAAGCGACTGCTTTCGGCTCGGGTCATGATCCCGGAGTCCCGGGATCGAGTCCCACATCGGGCTCCCTGCTCGGCGGGGAGTCTGCTTCTCCCTCTAACCCTACCCCCTCTTGCGCTCTCTCTCACTCTCTCTCTCTCTAATAAATAAATTTAAAAAATCTTTAAAAAAACAAAAAATATCAGTCTTGTTAAGGGATGTTTTGAGTTAACTAAAACTTTTATAATTAGAGTAGTGGTTATCTCTGGCAATAGGTTTCCTAACATCTTCTCATGATCAGTGAATATTTTCAGTTTTGTTTTTTTTTTAACAGTTTTGATGTCCTTTATTCCATTAGGGTTATTATATTCCATTGATGCTCAGATCGTCTCTTTGGCTAGTGGGAGTCCTGAGTCCTCTTTGGCTCCTCGGTCCTTTTGACAGGACTCCCAACAATCTTTGATAACTTCTTTACTTTTTGGTATGTCTCATCTTGTATATTTCCTGTCACAGACCTTAAATCAACGATTTCTTCAAGAAGCCTTGGTTCCTTTTAGAAAAGTATTTCAAGATTATAATCTGGGCTATAGGGTTGCTCCCTGCCTACTAGGTTGGTCATGGTTTCTAGGTCTTTTCAATGGATAGAACTAGGAAATTTTCCTTTAAAAAAAAAAAAGAGAAATTACATTGTAAGTGCATACTTGATATTTCCAATTCAAATTCGAGATTTAGGATCACATAATTGTTTTATTTCCACCTCTTAGTCTTTATCTCCTTTCTTCCAAACCAAAAATCCAACTTCCCAACACCACTAAGAAAATTACTCCTTTGCTTTTATCTTACAGCATATACATGGCAGTTTTAGAGTTACAACATCCACACGACCACCCAAAACAATGATCGAAAATAGCTTAAGATTTACTTGCAGTTTTTTGCCCTTAGAACTTATCCAATTAGAGATATAGTCAGATTGCTTCAAGTCACTTGAAATAATTTTTCTTTGTGTGGTTTTGCTACTAATGTAAAATATCTATAATAGTGCAAGGCCAACTCTACAGAAGAAGTTATATTTAGGGAAGTCTAGTTTCTATTTCTGTCTCTTTTACCATGCCCCCACTTCTCCCCTTCAGGTTTTTTTTTTTTTTTAAATTGTCTTCCCTCCTTTAAAAAAAAAGTAATCATGCATGTGTGTATATGTATTCATTAGCCATCTCTCTCCCCTACTCCTGACCCCGAGTGTGTTATGCATTTTACTCCATCTTGCTTTTCCTAGTTAACAGTATGTCCTAGAGGTAAAGCCATTGCTGCATAGAGCAGGGTTCTGCCTTCCTTTTACAGCTGTTTTGTCTTAGTACTGCATTTTATGGTTGTATCACAGTTTTGTTTTTGTGTGGGTTTTTTT